CAGTGAACTTCTTGTCTTTCAAGAAAACTTCAAGAACAATTTGCTAGGTGCAAAAGGGCACAAGATCAAAAAGTATTGATGATATTATCTCATTAGCTAGAGAGGTATAAGATGATGTTGAAATTATTTAGGGTTGAGAAAAGGAGAGAGAAAAAGAGAAGGGGACAAGTTCAGAAGACTTTGAAATTTCCTTTGTGTCTTGACTGTTATTTGTATTGATGCAGACATGTTAAAATTTTTCACCTCTAGCCGGCTCGCAGATGCCCTTTTCTTACAATCTTTGTCAAGACTTTCTTTTTGGGAGTTTGGAAAGAAAAGAACCGGTTTTTCCTCCCTCATTTCAACGACAAAGGAGAAAAGTATGGCTTCTAGTGAATTAAAATAAAGAGACCAGAAAATCAACCCTTTCACATGGACAAAAGACTTGATGGTGATTACTTCCAAGAATTAAACCTCATCCATCTATAAATCCGAAGTGAGTATCCAAATAAGGTTTTAAAGTGAGATTAACATTTTACATGCTTTCAATTAGCCTGATTAATATGAGAGAAGTAACTTTTTTCTTAACTAAAGTGACAATGTTAAGTTTAATTGCCTTCTGTCATTGTCAGCATTAGTGCTAATTCTATTTTTGTGCTTTGCACTCCAAAATCCAACTTTTAAACATCTGTGCATGCTTTTAAGCTTATCTATCCATATCTAGTCTGCACATAATAGCTCATGCAATTTTGCATGAAAATTTGGCAATTGTATGCTTAAGATACGCTACAAAGAGGCTGATGATCATATCTTCTAACCAGATGATCTCGTTCATTCTGATTTCTTGAAATTTTTTTTTATCTAATATTGTAAAAAATGAATTGATTGCTCATGCTACTGAGAACTGGACACAAATTAATGTTCACAAACTAGATTTTCGCCTATAAAACGTCCCAAGTCAGTAATTTGAAGGTACAAAGAGTAGCTTTGGATCAACTCCTAAGTGGTGTAAGATCAAGAGAGATCCAATTTGTGCTTAAACAAGAAAGAAGAGAAAAATGGAAAAACGTCAAGCTTCCTTCTACATGTGTCGGTAAGACTGTTTATACACGAGGAACGTAGTTCTTTGTTGTTAATACTAGACGTCGACAACCAGCTGGGAAAAGAAACGAGAAAGTGTATCTCTTAAGATCCTTTTCACAGGCTAAATAGTTCCTTAAAGCCAGCATTATGGAAAGAAAAATTAAATGGCATTAAGGGAGCTTAGAGGAATTACTCTGAACATGTATCTCACTATTTACTACGGAGTAGTAATCTATCTGAATTTGATGGGATCGGTGCATTAATTAATGCGAGTATAATGGTACCAAAAAAAATCTGAATTTGTTATGAAATTAATTTACACTAGACTTTTAAAACACAATGAAAAGTTAAGTGTTTTCTCTCTTTTTTTTTTCTTAGTTATTTCTTAATTTGGGAACTTCTTTGTTTTGTTACATGTGATGTAACCCTGAAGTCACAGGAGTCCTGTTGTTAAAGATGCAAACAAAGCATAAAAATCGAACACATATAATATTTTAAGCCCATTTTTGTTAATAACTAGGGAATGCATTGGAAAAAGTCCTCCTATGACATATTCTTCAACTGCTGTTTTAACTTGCTAGTCTTGTTCTTGGAGACCAATAATAAGACACTGACTTGGACGGTTTCTTCCACCTCTTACTATACTCCCAAATGAGCTGCATGGAGTGTGCAAATGAGCATCACTGATCACGTTGAAGAAATACTGGCTAGCTAGCTAAGAACTTCCAAATGAGATAGCTGCATGGAAATCGTAAACTCCATAGAAAGGTTCAGAAGAAGAATTAGTACTCATGACTCGTGAGAAGAACGAGGGCCGCACAAATGCATGCATAAAAATGAATGTACGTTCCCTATTCGAATTTAGTAATTGTCCTACTGCTACATTCCTAGCTTCTTGGTCCTTCTCGATGGCAAAGACGGCCAAATTACGCGTCTTAGTTTTTTTTTCTTTAAGTTTCTCTGCAGGTTGTCTTATGAGAGATGCTCAGCATATTTACCATATTTATATAGCTTTGACCATTCCATGTGATCGAGCGATGAAATCAGTACTTGGACTAATGCTGGAGACGGCCTCTTCTTCACAAAAGTTTTTGAATCAACAATGCCATTAATGGAGGAGAGAATCCATGACAATTACATAAGTGCAGCAAATTAAATTTTGTGCAATTCAATCAATTTAGCACAAGATCGTCCTTTGTCTTTTGATAGATAAGGGATATTTATTAATTAATGAGATTTTTGGAAATCGTTCAGCACGATTTGCTTAACAAAATTAGAATTGGCGTTCCGTAGGAGTCACTACAATTGGCAGATTTTGCACGGAAGCTAGATTAATTATGAGACATTTCCTTTTCCTCATGGATTAATTACTTCTCAACCAAAAGTTAGTTGCACAAATCTGATTTGCACTAAAAGTTGAAGTCTTTAGAAGACACATTAATGACATTTTTGATATACTATTAAATTGTCAGCTACTGGCACAAAAAAAATATTTATTGTCAAGGTGAATCACAATATAATTTTGTTACTCTTGTAAATATCACATAACCAATTCGTATACATATTGTATTAGCTCAACTTATTTGGCCAATAATTGCTTTGCTCCTAGTTCTTGGTAAGATTTGTGTTTTACTGCTTTTGTTCTCTGCTAAGAACAATAAAAAAAAATGCTTATTATTTTGTTCTTAAAGAAAAATAGTATATACATAATGTGTTTGATTCATAATAGCATTTTGAAAAACAAGACAATATGTCTATATTTGGTTGGACATTAATTATTATTGTGTTTTAAAAAATGATTATTGGAGCTTAAGGGTAACACAATCTTAAAATTGATGCATAATTAAAAGTGGTTCGGCTTGGACCAAATTAAGCTCAACGTAATATGTTTAATACTTATACATGTATAAAATAAATAAATAAATTCAGAAGAAATAATTGTGTGTTTTGATAATAATATATTTATCTTAAAGCATTATTGTTTCTATTAAATAATACATAATTCAAAAATTAATAAATATGTATAGTAAGTATATGAATTTAGCACTTTTTTACTCGTATATTTATGTATAGGCATTTTAAAATCGTACAATATGTATGCTTTTTTTTTTTTTTTAAAGAAAATTTAACCTAACCAATCCCCTCGAAACTCATTTTGAAAGATGCGACCAAGACAAGGCTCACGCGTGTGAGCTTTGGATGGGCCGAGTTCATGCTAACAAGTGATTTGTTTTTCCTCTATGCAGTTTGGGCTTGTCAAAGCCCAACTGAATAAGACCAAATTGTAGGTTTTAATGACAACATATGAGTCGAGCTTAGTTGAACTAGGGGATAAGTGGTTGAATAGGATGGAGTATGGTAAGATAGATTAATGGTCTGAGGTTTTGGCTCGTTGATTAATTATTCGAGATTATTTTATCATAGCTGACATTTTGGCTGCATTAGGCCGGTCGCAGAGAGGCCTCCCTGTACACAAGTGGTCAATCCAGCCCGAAAAAAACCGTTAAAGTCAATCTTGGTCCAAAGAGGGAACAACAGAAGTCAAACAAAGGACGTGGTTTGCCACTTTGCCAGTGGGGTCGGACTATGCCTGGTTAAAAAAGTATTGAGCTCGAGTCAAGATGGGCTGAACGTGGACTGGAAAAACTAGTTCGAACCAAGCCCAACACTTTCTGAGTCAACAAAATTTGTCGAAAAATAATTAAATAAAATATTACTTTTACCAGGTCACTTATAAAAAAAAAAAAAAAAAACGACTCTTAAAACACGAGCTAACTCAGTGATACAGAAGTGTGCCGAGGGCGGGCAGGAGGGTTAAAAAAATAACAACCCTAGATTTCTTATCAAGAGATGAACCATCTTTTAACTTGTTCATGTCATATAAGTCGTGTCTTGTCAATTTATGTTGGTTAGTAGAGATTTTTCAATTTTTCTAGTATTTAAACTAACACTAGGAATAAATTACTCGATAAGTTACTCAATTAGTGATCGACTGATAGTGTATAAGTAGTGTTAAAATTTCTTTTGAAAAGCTAAAATAGACCACGAGAAATTTGGTAAATAGCCTTTCAAGAAATTTGGAATATTCTTACACCTGAAAGTATTAAAATGCTAGTTTTTTTTTTTTTTTTGGAGGACTTGATCCAAGCATATTAAAGAATATCATCCCCTTCAAAAAATTAAGAAGAAGAAGAAGAAAACAGTCTAAGGCACCAATTTACTTTCTTATCATCACATACGCAACTTTTTGTCTTCATTTATGTAATATGTACTTATAGTTGCACATTGAAAAAACTCAGAATGCCCATGAATTAGACAAAATGACATTCAAGACTGTGGAGCTTAATCAAAATGACATTGAACAAGCTTGCAAGCCATTCGATTGAATTTGACTCGTTTGTAGCCCTATGCCACAGTTTAGAGGATAGTTCAAGCCAAAGCAATCCAAGTATTTGGAGAGCTGGAGATCTTAAAAGCAGTTCTAATTTATGCGATCTATTGAAAGTAAAGGAAACTGAATTACAGGACACCAAACCAGGAAACTCTTTCACGGCATACATTATATGTTCTACCCTCTATGATTCAGTGCTGCAAAACTGAACTGCCAAATCTCATGCTTCCCTGATTCGTCACAGTGCAAAAACAACAAAGCAGTTGAACAGCTCACATGCATCAGGACTCACATACAACAGTGATATTTACAAGCACCGTTTCATGATATTTCCATCTTTCAATCTTCACAAGAAAACTGAGATAACCACCCCGTCAACATCTTTTCTTTTCTTCTGGTCAGTGGTCACGAATCCTTCTTCCATCTTCTGGAACGAAACAATCCCCATTGACCAACAATTAGCAACCATAAAATCGTCCGAGAATCTTCATTTTTTCAAGAAAAGACTTGATTCAATCTAGACTCTTTTTTCAAAGCCAATCAAGAATCAATCAGCATCATCAAGATTAGTCACGGTTTCTTCTGAAGAGGAGGAACAAAAAAGTATGTTTCAGTATCCACTGGACTCTAAAGGTTATCAGATTCTTGATGAAATTGGTCGAGGAGCCAGTGCAATTGTCTACAAGGCCATCTGTCTTCCCATGAACTCTTCAACTGTGGCTATCAAATCCATTGATCTTGATCAAGCTAAAGCAGATTTTGACAATGTCAGGCGTGAAGCCAAAATCATGTCACTTCTTTACCATCCTAATATCCTTAAAGCCCATTGCTTTTTCACCGTTGATCGTCGTCTTTGGGTGGTGATGCCATTCATGTCTGGCGGTTCTCTTCAGTCCATCATCACCTCTAATTTCCCTGATGGATTACCTGAGCCATGCATTGCTGCGGTTCTTAAAGAAACCCTTTCTGCTTTATCATATCTTCATGATCAGGGCCATCTCCACAGAGATGTCAAGGCTGGCAATATTTTGATGGACTCAAATGGTTCGGTGAAGCTTGCTGATTTTGGTGTATCCGCTTCGATTTATGAATCAAGCTCATCTTATGGACCGTTACAAGGTTCTCCTTCATCAAATTTGATGCTGACCGATGTTGCTGGAACCCCTTATTGGATGGCACCAGAAGTAATTCACTCACATACGGGTTATAGTTTTAAGGCCGATATATGGTCTTTTGGGATTACTGCATTGGAATTAGCCCATGGAAGGCCTCCTCTGTCCAATCTTCCTCCTTCGAAATCTTTGCTGATGAAGATTACCAAGCAATTCCGGTTCTCTGATTATGCTAAGTTTCATGAAAGTAAGAAAACAAGTTTTCAAAGTCTTTCAAGGACATGGTGGGACTATGTCTCGATCAAGATCCATCAAGAAGGCCTTCTGCTGATAAATTGTTGAAGCATTCATTTTTCAGGTACTGCAAAGGTCCCGAATTTTTGGTCAAGAATGTTCTTCATGGTCTGCCCACCGTGGAACAAAGGTTTCGGCAGTCGAAAATTCAGAGACTTCTGTCCTTGAATAAAACTGAGGAGGAAGATGAGGAAGATTCATTGAGGGAAAATATCAAGCAAAGAAGAATCAGTGGTTGGAACTTTAATGTCGAGGATTTTGAATTGAACCCTGTTTTTCCAAATGAGAAGAAAGAAGAAGACAGCATTGTAAAACAAGTCCGATTTGGTGGTGAAACTATTATACAAGAGAAGGGAGGGACGGACGGATGGATCAATTTCAAGTAATTCTCCAGGGCAGACTGTGAGTGTGGCTGGAACTCAGATTTTGTCTGATCAAGTCTCTGAGGTTTCTGATGATTTGGTGCAAAATGTTGGGAGCACTAGTGAGGCTGAATCTGTGATTAGCGCAGTGATCAGGGTAGTGTGGATGGCGAAATGATGTTGAGTAGCCTCTTGTTCCTGAAGAAGAGTTTGGAGGATCAAAGGAATGAGGTGATGACCATGATTGGCTTGATACAGGGGAAAAAGTTCACAGAAATGAGCAGGGAAGAGCAACTGATGCAAGTGATTGAGAAGAATGAAGGTGGAATTGGAGAATGAGAAGAAGAAGAATGCTGCACTGGAATTAGAATTGGAGTTTCTGAAGTTGCAATACAGCAGTGGACAGTAATATGATTAAGCTGTATTTAGTTCTACATGGGGATTTGAATCAATTTCTATGCAGTACATGGTTTATTCCACTCCAAATCCTGCTGCCATAGAGAACCATATAGAACCTTAGTTTCATATTATAGGCGATCTCCTTTTAAAACTCCTATATGATGATGTTACCGGTTAAATTTTATACAGCCAATTTCATATTGGTTTGATTGTTAGTACAATTTAGTTCCAAAACGTCAGTGATCATTGTCGACCAAAATTTGTCAAATCACCTCAAGAATCAATGCAGATTACAAGATGTTTGGTCATTTCATCAGATTTCCCTTGTTTCCCTTTCTTGCTATTTTATAATTTCTATGATCAGCTTCTGCTTCTTATTTTTTTTTCCTTCCTTAATTGGTATATTGCCTAGCATATATAGGAATCAAGGCGAATTCAAACCCGTCTGGATTGTTATTTTTTGGAGTTTTTATAGAGAAATGTGCTATAGCGATTTGATGTACGTGAGATAAAAGAAGTGATTAAAAAATGTGTTCATGGAAAAAGTAAAAGATTTTTGGAGGAAAATAGCAATCCATACAAAAGAAAAGAAGCAAATTTGCATTGAACAATTTTATATGTAGAGGAATTTGCAGTTTAACAGCAGCCATAGCCAGGACTTCAGTTATTCCAATTGTGTCAGTAGAATAGAATGTCAAGATATTGCATCTAATCTCATGAGATGAAGAAGTTATTATTGAATTAGGAAAAAAAAAATAAGTTTTTAGTTGAATCACACAAATGAAAATTGTAATTAAAGAAAATAAGAATGCAAAGAAAGCAGGTATTCTGGGGGTTTTTTTTTTTTTTTAAAAAAACAACAATAAATGAAAATAAAAATTTCATAGGAAAGTCAAACTATTGACTGATCCAAGTCAATGTCAAGCAGCTCATTCCCACATCGACTACTCACCGCAAAAATTAGTGCTTTACTTGAAGAAATGAGCGAGCCACCGTGGCATACAGCGGAGGTGGGGGGGGGGCCGGCGCATGCAATTATTAACCCTAAACCACTCTGTCATCAGAGATGTTTAGTTCTCAAGGGTGGGTGGTTTCCCGTTTTTCCCCGCCGGAAAAACAAGAAACACCGATGTCCGGCATGCATCGGTCCTCAGTGGCTGAAAATTAGCTCCAGAGAGGCTTGCAGGGAATGACTGCCGGCGTGTAAAAAACATGCCTCGTGGTTGTTGATTTGTCTCCTCGCCTCTCAGCCACCTCCATTTTCATTATCTATGTGCCAGAATTTTTGTTATTTTTCTTTTCTAACTTTGAAGAATATAATTCCATCAATTAAAATGGCAGACCAAACTTTGAATTATGTATGGATTAGTCGATTCAAGGTTTGTTATCAATATTACTTCAAAAAAGAAAAGGTTTTTTATAAATATCATCGTTGCTTTATGCTTTCAAGGATGAACAACAAGACAAATTATTTCAAAATGTTAAAAACTAGCCTGACAATACAAACAATATCATGAACAAATTGGAAGGGAAAAAGGATAAATTTTTCATGTACTAATAATAAATAAACTAGTAGATGTAAATACATGTCACATAAATTTTAGATTTTAACTCTAAAGTAGAATCATATGGATATTTCAAAACCCATTAATTTATATATTATCAGTGTTTACGAGATTAATATATATATATATATATATTATGTGTGTGTGTGTGTGTGTGTGTCTCAAAATTTTTGGCAAATAAGACTATTTTTTTTGTCTTGTACAAGCTAGCCCGCCTCCATTTACACTCTAATCTCAAGTTCCACCCTTCATGTTTCGATTGCATCAATCTCTATCCTTAATCTTTTTCAAGTGGATTATAATTCTTCCTCTGTCCCATTTAATATGTCATGATCAACTTTGCACGCAGTTTAAAAAAATACAATTTGACCAAAACATAAAAGCTAGTATTAAAGTAACTTTTTCCATTATTGCCCCTCAATTGACATTAAATATTTTGTTAGTTGAGTTAAATGTCTGAAAAAAAGAACAACTGCCAAGATACAGAAATGATTTGTAACACTATTTATTAGGAGAACATGACTTGAATGTGTTTTCTTGGAAATTGTATAAAGGTACAATAGGAAAGTTGGCATTTTTCATTTTTATTTTTAAATCATGACAAACATTTTACCAAAACATATAAAGTGAGACGAAGGGAGTAGTACCATTAATTACTATTCTGACAGAACATATATTTGCACCCTTGATTGTGTATATATATATATATATATATATATATATATATATATATATATATATATATATATATAGTTTATTTTTCTGGGTAAATTTTTGCCCTTCAATTCCTAAAAGTTATTTTTGGGAAAATGCATGCTAGTGTTAAAGTTTCCTCAAATCCAACTTTAAAGCTAACAAATTTTTTGTTACGCTATAATTTATTCATGTCATGAAATTACATAGGGAACAAAGGCCGGAGTCTTATTTCATTGAGTAGATTACTATTTAACGGAATGAAATGAGTTCATGAACGCATGCAATATGTCATTTTAATCACTAGAATAACAGCAGAATTTTTTTTATCGGAAGAGGGATGATACCATTCTTCTTTCCTACTAAACTAGCAGATTTTATGTCTTTTCCTCTAAATACAAAACTTCAATCACATCCCCAGGCTGATTGACTAACAAATTATTTTTCTTATCATTTAATGTTTTTATGTTAGCATATGTATGTATTAGGATTTTTCAAACCGATGGGCAAAATACATTGATTAATTTAACCATCCAATATACTAAAATCATTTTGCTTTTAAAATTCAAGAGAATGGCACAAACTTGTTACTAACTAGTCTGGATAGGAAAAATTCCTAATACCAATGGTCTCGTGAAATTGAAACAAAGACGGAATTGCAAAATTAGGACAAAGTTGATGAAGACAAAAAATGGAAGTAGCCATCTTTCTTCATAGTGGATCTCCTGTCTCACTCCCGATGCCACTCTCTGTTTCATTTTTTATTAGATTGTTATTTCTCCTTCATAAACATCGTATTTTAATTCTTTTTGTTTCTTTAAAATCCCATAACTATTAACATAGTAAAAGAAATAAATACAACAGTTTCAAAAGTAACATATAATAAACATTAACAAGTATAGCAGAAAATTCATTAAAAAATCTCATTTTTTTGTGTATTTTAATTTTCTAAGATTGTTGAACTTTGTGTTTACTCGATGAACAACAAAGAATTAAAATATGACGTTTATGAAGAAGAAATAGCAATAGAATATAGAGTGACATAGATAGTGGGACAAAAAATCCGTTGCAATCTTTCTCTCAATTTCCTTTTCTCTCCGAAAGCGCAAACTGTCTCACTCCTGCGCCACTCTTTGTTTCACTTTTTTATTATATTCTTATTTTTCCTTCATAAACATCATATTTTAGTTCTTTTTCATTTTTTTAACATCTAATAACTATTAACTGACTAAAAAACTAAAAACAACAGTCTCAAAAAAATAACATGTAATAGAAAATTAAAAAATACAGCAGAAAATTCATTAAAAAAAAGTCTCATTGTTAATGCATGAACTAAAGGGTGCATGGCCATGAACTAGAATGCAAGAACTGCTTAAACCAGAACAGGTGTAGTTTCAAAAAGCCCAGAAAAAGCTCACAGCCATTTGCATGGACTTCTCTAAATCTCTGATCAAGTCCATTTTTCAGCTCACAAGGCCCATCTATATGAGTTTCTCAACCTTTCTTCTTCTTTTTTTTTTTTTTTTTTGAAAAAAGACTTTCAACTTTTGTTGGTGTTCAGCTCTCTAAAACTTATATTACAAACAGTCTAGCAAGTTAGCAGCTGTAAATTCTGAAGGTGAATCTTGTAAAAATAAAAAAAAAAGTGTGAAATTTTGCGAATGCCAACTGGGGTCGACTTTAATTTGTTTTCAGTTGTTACTATATTGTTCTCCATCTTCTCAATCTAGTGTAAGGACACATTTCACAGTTCATACCATATATATCAGTAGTAATTAGGCTGACATTTGTAATCAGACAACTTACTCGGCCATTTTGCCATTCACATGACAAAATTTTGCACTCCACCACCCCACCAAGCATTCAATCCTCAAGCAAAAAACCAAACAAACACAGCAAATTCGACTACATATTTGAATGCGAACAAAAGTAAAAGAAGAAACAGAAGACAATAGCCATGATATTCGTACTACTAAAATCCATACCAATTATGTCTAATTCAAAGATATAATAATGAGTTTTACACACCAATTTTTCCAACCAAAGTTTAAAAATGGGCTAGCTCAAGGGTGTAGACTCCTATCTGGACCATCTTCAACTTTTGGTGTTTCTGCATACAAACAACACACAGGAGGAGGAGTACCAGCTGACTTAGATATAGCTGATCTTATCATCATTGTGATGGTATCTGCATCACTATTTAATCCCCATAGATAATGAAAAATAATAAGAGATGACCACATTAACTGCATCAAGATGCAGTGAAATGGGATGATTTCTTACTATTGATGAAGGAGATATGACCCTAACACATGCATCACCATGTGTTACGTAGCATGTAATTAGGGAAGAAGACATATTATTATCAGCACACTTCTTGATCCTACTATTACTTTTTTTTTTTTTTTTTAAAGTTTTTAAGGCCTCGATACTATTATCATCATTATGTTACGAGTAACATAACATTAATTTTTGCATACTTGGGGGTTCTGTTATCGTCTTCTGCCTCCCGAACCACTCTCCTCTGGCAGTTGTAGTAAACTGCTGCAACAGGCGAGCCTAGATTGTAAAGTTCAGCAAAGTCCCTGGTGTTGAAGTTCTGGCGCCACCCAGGTGGATAGACCGTCTGCCGCCCAAGCTGCCGGAAAAGCACGAATATGAAGCGGTGGATTCCCATTGATGGCCGTGGGCTCTCATAGCACACAACTTCTTGGCCTACAGGAGGGTATCAATCACGCAAAAGAATGCAAAGTTATTTCTTCAATGCATTCATGACCAGCAAATTTATGGCTTAATTACCTGCTGTTATTTTAGTTTCCCAACTTTCGATGACTGCCATTTTATCATTTCGTATCACCTTCAAAGTTTTTTTTTTTTTTTTTTTTTGGTGCTAGTAGAGTAGACACTACTAAAAATGCAACTTAATTAATTATTATTGCCAACGAAGAAAACAAGCAAAAAGAAAAAAAAAGGGCATAATATATTAATCTTCAAGATCCTCGTCTCTTGTGGGTTTGATCATATATTATAGCATTCCACGATTTTTGATTCAAATACTAATAACATCTACATTTTTTTTTCTTTTTAGGAGTTATATATAAGAGGAGGTTTTGAATATATACATTTAAGTTTTTCAGCTGTAATATTATTACTATTTACATTTTCCAGAGTATCTGGTTGATTGAAATAATGGTCCTATCATCATCATGAGTTCCGTGTAATCTTAGTTAAAAAGAAAAAGAAGTAACAATGATTCACATATCTCTTGACAGAGACATCCTTTGACTAAATATGATTGAGAGAAAAGGCACAGAGAAGAATAGTGATCCTGGTAAAACAATAATTGATACAAATGCCATAATACCAGCAGCTGTCACAGTCTACCATTTTTTCAAAAGTTCCACAAGCATGTGGCTTATAATGGGAGCAATCAAATGTAGCTAGCCTCTTTTTTTTTTTTTTTTTTTTTTTTTTTGGGTTGGTTTTTCCAGGAAATAAATCTCTGGGCTGGCTGGCTGGCTGGCTAATCAAAGTCCTTTAGTTTCAGCACCCACGACTTCGACTTTTTTTTTCCTCCTTTCATTTTGATACTCAGTAAGTACCCACGTCTTAAAAGAAAGAAGGGTAGGATAATGTTGGTTCAAAAATGGAAACAGGAGAAAAGGAAAGTTCGAAGGCTCAAAAAAGTATAAGCAAAATTTGATCACATCTCTCGTCAACACTCCCACCAGCATGTGATTCTGATCACCTCTACTCATCCCCTTCTTTCAGATTGGTGCGTACAAGTTATGATGTTCGAGTTGTCCAAGAAGTACTCCGTGACAACATCTAGTGGAAATTAAAGGGTAACTCCTACTACTCGACTTTTTTTTTTTTTTTTTTGCTTTCTTGTTTTCGCTTGCTTGCTTGTCGAAAAAAATCCTCCGTAATCATTCATGTAATGATTGAATGAACGAATGAATGAATGAATGTTTCACGATGCAGCATTTAATTTAATTGGTTCTTCTTCTACAAATAAATTAGTACGACATTTTGATCCTCCTACCTCTAGTAATGACATGTGTAGATGGATAGACGTGAATCGCCATTTTATCTATCTACAAAAAGCATATCAAAATGCTGGAATATATAGGGGGGAATAGATTTGGTGAACTTTTGAAATTTAGAGGCCAAAAGTTTAAGGACACCTGGCCAATAAGGTAACCAAACGTATCTTCTTCTTTCAATATAAAATGAGGAAGATTAGTTCTTCAATCTTTGTCGGCAAGCGGGAGCTAGCCAAAAGAGAAAAGGAAAAAAAACCAAGTAATAATAATGTAAATTCTGAACTAGAAAGACCAGATATGATTCCTTAAAAAGGTTGAAGGACGTCAACTGTAATCTAATCTACCAGTGGGAAAGAGGAGCAAAAAAAAAGAAGCTTTCTCTCTTCTTTTTTTTCCTTTCTTCTTCTTTCTCATACATGCAACCCCCTTTTTTTTTCTTTTCTTGTTTGGTTGTCATGATGAAACCAAACGTATCTTCTTCTCATTATACATAAAAAAAAAATCAAGGGAGGGTAGTCAGTCAGGTTATGTATAGCTTAGCTAGGTAGCCCACATCATATCTTGATTATAAATGAAGGTTTTAGTCGTGGAACCAAACGTATCAAAAAAGAAGAGAGCAAGCAAGGAAGGAAGCTTTTCTTTCTTTGATGATGCCCATGTGGTGTGGCCATGTTCATGATTCCCTTTTTTTGTTCTCTTCTTTTGGTCCCTTTTTCCTGTTGTTTGATAAAGAATTTATTTCCTGTGTTCATGTGCATATCTAGTAGCCATACATACACACACACACATATATATATATATCCGAAGAATTATTGATATATATATGTATATGTATATGTATATGTATATATATTTGAGTGAGCCGAGAGAGAGAGAGAGAGAGAGAGAGAGAGCTGAGAAGAAGAAGAAGAAAGAAACATATATATGGAAAAGCCGAATCTTCATGTTGTAACAAAAAGAGATACTCACCAAACGATGCTCCCGTGGTGGCTGGAATGTCAGTGACCAACCTGTAAAAAAAAAAAAATGGTTTACAGCAGCAGCATATATATGTATGTCAATGAAATGAACCAAGAAGTCAAGAATCATCACTATGCAACAAAGTAGTGCTTCTCGCATTATTGGATTGAAGGAGACAGATATATATATATATATATATATATATATATATATATATGCAAATTAAGAAGAAGAAAAATTTAATGGATTAATGGAAGCTAAGCTAGCACGGTCGATCAATAATAGCTAGGAGTTTCTTCTCATCCAAAGTTTGCAGAAGCCCAGTTGGAAGAATGAATGAATTGATTGATTGATATATAAAATTAGCAATTTTCGATTATTAATTTTCAGATATGAAGCAGAAATTAGTACTCTCTAAAATCCATATATGCCATATATCCTTGTCTTCTTTTCCAAAGGCGAAGAAAGGAGAAGAAATATATTCTACAGTAAAGCAAATTGATCAAAACTTTGTCTCCTCTCTTATTGTATGTATGTATTGTATATATGCCCATTGTAAGGCAAGAAGCTGATTGAACAAGAAAAAGGAAGAAAAAAAATATTTAAAAAGAAGCTGGAGTTCGTACATTCCATATCCACCTTGAAAAACAGATTCCTAGTCCGGGCCCAAACATGGCATACCCCCTGCCTTCTTCTACTATAGACCAGAACATACGAAAAAAAAAATGAAGCTACGATCAAGTACAAAATAATTTCCCTCATCAGATCGATCATCCATGTAAATTCGTCCTTTCCTACTACTACTACTATCACATCAATAATTCCATTCCGATGAGTTTCAGGGCGGCGGCCGGCCAACAAAACAAGAAGCTAGCTAGCAATTACAGCTAACTATAATATATATCCATGGTTAGTTGGTTGTATTGTATTGTATGCTGCGATCTTTTCTTGAAAGGAAAACTATAATTATGGTCCATTGTCCAGCAGCTGTTATGGTAATACAATTCTGAACCAAAAAAGCCCCCCCCGGGGAGGGAGGGAGAGGAGGAAATTAATAGGCAAATATATAGGTGGAGGTACTGCATCAACCATCATGTTTTTGTCTCAAATTCTTTCGAATCATTGATGAGCTGATTTTGCTCCTATCATCACGAGAAAGTTGAGTTCTTTGGAAAGTTTAGCTCAAAAAATTACAAGTCAAGAGATCCAAGAATACTGAAGTGAAAGGACCATATATATATATATATGAAGCGTTTATTTGCTTCAAGCATAGCTCACCTCATCTAATATTAATGAAGAAACGGCACCCTAACTAAGGCCTTGTTTAGATTGCATTTTTTCGTAAAAAATTATTGTAGTGATTTGATGTATGTAAAGGAAAAAAAAAGTAATAAGAAAATGTGATCACGGAAACGACGCAATTTTTTGACAAAAAGTGACTGTCCAAACAAGGTCTAAATTTGCATCACTTAATTCATCATCGATTGATCGAAGTAAAAATTAAAACTAGCTTGCCTAGAACACTGCACTAGTGGCCTCCTCCAAAGCAAAATAAATAAATATATATATATACACAAAAAAAATCATGACATTGAACCCAAAAAAAAAAAAATTTGAAATTACCACAGCCACTAGACTTTGGGAGAACCCGTCAAGTAGACAAGTAGGGACCATAGAGCGGCTTTAGAAGTGTATCTGGGATAGAATTCGTTGGGGCTGTGAATATTGTCACAGTGGGGAGGTGAGTTGAGTGAAAGATATGTGCAAATCAACCAATGAAAAAAGAAGGCAAAGCAAAGACAGACGGATTGGTCTCATTCCTGAATATTCACACGCTAACAACAACATCAACAAACAACAGCAACGTGGACTATATTTCTTTCTTTCCTTCTGTTTTATTCTTCCTGCGATCCTGCTGCGACTAGTCCGATGGGATCCCATCCCATGATTGATAATATACACTATCCCTTCCCGACCACTCGATTTCGACAATACCTTCAAGATCCCTTTACTTCAGCACGCCAAACTCTCTTGTCAGTCTCTGCTTGCTTACTATTTTTACCGGATTTTAACAGAGATTTCGTAGGCTGTGTGTCATCACTGTCTCACGTCATTCATCCTACATCTCCAGCACTAGCTAGTTGTGTCCTTCTCTCTCTCTCTCTCTCTTAAAAAAATTTTTACTTGTATTTTTTTCTTCTTTCTGGAGTACTTTGCAGTGCAACAGTATGCTAGAAAGTAGTATGATATATTTTCTTGCAGAAAAGTTTCTGCAATGAAAAGTAATGGTTAATTTCTCCCAAGATCCCCCCGTTAACCATTGTGATTGGCCAAAAGTTGAAAACTGTACGATTGAAACAAGTTTTCATATATACTTCATTTTTTGAACCAGGTGCGAAAACTGTGTCACAAATTTACCTTGTGTTCAAAATAATACTAGTAGCTTATAACTTTGAGTAGTAAACGTTTCTATAACCTTGTCTTGGATTCAGTTCCTCCTCCTCCTTCCCCGCTTCTCATATCCCAACCCTCACCTGCTTTGAAAAGAGAAAAAAGAAAAAAGAAGCTTTTATTTTACAACCTATTGAAAAGGTTGTAAAGTGAAGGTTAGCAACGAAACTTTGCCTTTCCCAGTTGCCCAGTGTCATATTTTGATGTTTCTAATCAACATCCAAGACGACCAATCCTAAGACCCCAACCTGAGCTGCATGGACCAGTGATTGCATGCACGAAACATGTAGAGAAAGAGAGACAGAGAGCCATTTCGAGAGTCCGTACGTACCAGTGCAAGTATTCCCTAAGGTTTGGATCGCTGGGACTTGGAGCATCAGGGTCCACCATCACCTTCATAAACAACAATCAAAAGTTGGTGAAACATGCTCTCATGACGAAAGAATGAAACCCTAAAGAAGAAAAAACCATCCATCTGAACTCCGCTTCCTGCCCTAGCTAGGCTGGAATACTCAATATTCAAGAAAAGAGGTATGTTCAAAACAAAAAGGGAAAACAAAAAACTACTCCTGGGATTTTTCTTGAAGTTTACTATACTTACCAGAGTATAGAAGGTGCGAAGATCGTCACCTCCAATCTCAACCCTAGGCTGATTCACAACCTGAGAGGGTCGAAACTCACAACCATTGCTCACTTCTCTGCTACCATAGGTCACGCTAAGGCTTAGGGACCTGGTGAACTGGTCCAAAACATCCCCTATTACTCGTCCAACCACCAGTGGGTCTCCTCCCCTCTAGGCATCGTCTTAGTTTGTTTCAACCTCGAAAATGGATACTATTAGACTACCCCAGGAAGGGGAACAAAGCCTGGTTCTACAAGCTGCTAACAGTAATGGGGAGGGAAGCGGAGGGGTGCTATGTACGTGCTCATGAAAGCCTTTCGCTATTTATAGGTTTTTTTCTAAGTTGCCTCCAGGTATCTATGACTGGGCAATTTTTTCTTTTTCTTGTTAGGAATCTTACTTTTTCTTTTTCCAAGAATTTTCTTTTGTTATCAGTCGTTTTGGTTTTGGTTAATTGATAAGGTTTAAGAAATGGACAGCCGAAAGAGTGTTTTAGTTTGTGCCAAAACATTAACTACAGCACAAGAATTGGAAAAACGACACATATCCTAATGGTATTAACCTGTAACCGCTCTTTTAATCCAACTTTCAAGACTGTAAAGCAAGCTACCCCAATATAGCAATGTGGACCTGCGGGTAAAACATATTCTCAATGATGGTGCTGAGGTTGGGATTGGTCCAGAGCATCACAATTCACAACAAGCATCCTATCATTCAATTTCAATCTCAATTTGCGGTAAGAAAAGTCATAATTTACTTTTTACTTCACCCACGTCAAATCGTTAAGGTGCATTTTTTTTTCCACTAGAAAATAACATCCAAAAGATCTCTAAATCACTATGATTATGTGACCATAGTATAGGTCGATAAAGATAAAACGAGAGTCTTACACCTTATTCTTCTGCTCTTCTTTTTCTCTGCACGCTCTATTTTCTAGTTTGTTGTAAAAATATATTGCAATATACTTTCACGTTATTTAGCAATGCTGTCCAATGACTATAAGAGGGCTGAGCAATTGTTCCAAACAATATCAAGGGCCACATTTTTCCTAAAATTTGAAAACAGATCAATCGATGTTTGATGCTGGCAAAATGATGTTCATTTTTCACATTTTGTCTAAAATCATACATAATTGTAGACACGAGATATGCAGTCTATTGAAAGCATTGCCTGACTCCTAGTCCTGCATCAATGTCATATCTCACATGGATTGATATTGGCGTGTTTAATAGTTAATCGCAAAGAATTTTCTATTCCACTTTTTATCCTACTCATATTTCACCTTTCATTATGTTACCATTTGTCCTTCATAAATATATTACTTTAATTCTTCTTCTTTTTTTTAAGCTCTAATAACAAATAACAGGGTGAAAAACAAAATACAACATACTAAAAAAATATCAAAGAAAATGGAATTTTTTGATGAACTTATTGCTATATATATTTTTTTTTACTGTATAGTGTTGTTTTAACTTGTTGTAGTTTGTTTTTTTTTTTTTTTTTTACCCTGTTTAGTTATTGAAACTTATAGAAACCAAAAAAGAAATCAAAACATGATATATATGAGGGGCAAATGATAATAGGATAGAGAGGGGAATAAAATATAAAATGTAGAACAGAAGATCGGTTGTATTACTTACTCTCTTCTTGAAACTAGTTGCTTCATGTATCCGTCCAGCATTGGATCATAACCATCAACTTTGGCCCATGTTTTTAGCAGGATGAAGCCCCATCGACCAAATTTTTCCCAATTGGCCTTTGACCTCTTTATCAATAGAATTTTTCCAAACGTTAGGATTTGCTACTCGGGGAAGAGGAGAAAGGAAGAAGGAAAGAAAAAAGTAAAACAACTTTGAAGACGACAAAAAGATGGAAAAGCATGAAAAAGAAAGCAAACACATTAAGATGATATGTTTACCAATTACGGGGGACTAATGGGGCGGGGGCAATCCCCCGCGCTTAGAAACAGGGAGGGGCCCCATCTCCTGCCCCGCCACCCGCATGAAAAATATAAATATATAAAAAATATATATATTTATATGTATGTATATAATTATATATAATATATCATTTAATTAGTTACAGACTTATGATAATGATATTATTAGTTATATGTATTATATAATGTATATTAGTATATGTAATATAATTGATATTATTAATTATACTAATAATTATATATATGTACTAATACAAATTATTAATTAGTTATACTAAATTTGCTAATACATTTATACTAAATTCCTAATTACACTTAATACAATAACATTTTTTTCTCAAAAAAAAAAGCACAAGCACAATAATGAATTAGTGATTGTATTTATGTCAAAAGTGAAAACTTGACTACTTTAGTTGTATTTATTTCATCATGTTCGATTGTATTCAAATAACTTTTATTTGATTGTTTTTATAAGTTTCAATTGTGAAATTACAATGAATAATAATTTGGTGATGTGTTGATATTTTAGTACCTGATTATTTGCTAAAATTTAACTATAATAAAATTATATAGCAAATTTTTATTAATCGCACGGAAGTACTCGCTAGAAAAGCAGGGCAGAGCGGGGATGGGACGGGGGAGGGGGAGCGGGGGACAAGAAGAATTTGCAGGCAGCGGGGCGGGGGACGGGAGGGTTGGGGCTGCCCCTCCCCGCCCTGTTGCCATCCTTAGACGAAACGAGTATTGGTTATCCTTGGAATTAGTTCCTTAAAAGCTGAACTTTTTCTACCTCAACTTCTCATTGGTATTGGTGGATCAATTGGAAGGCATGAACCGGAAATTATATTCTGTACTTGGCCTTCAAAAAACAAAGAAATGTCCACCGAAATATAGTTAATAAACAAAAGAATAAAACATGGATCAACAACTTTCGGCTAAGAACCAAACTAAGGGGATGGGGAAGGGCCGCTACTCCGAAGTCCCTCCGAAGTCCATGATATTTGGGTTTTCCCCCTGAAAAATTTCTATACTGCCAAAAATGTCCTTGACAATTTATTTTTGTTACCCTTCAAAAATCTTAGAAACCTTTTATATTCAGTCCAAATTTTGTATGTATGTGAAATTTGCCTCCGCAACGTAAATGTTCTGATTCCATCTCTGCAGTTTCACTAGGCTTAGTTATTTTCGAGTATAAGGGATGAATTTAGTGTGAACAATTTATAAACGTGCGTCTCATCACTTGTTTTGAATTTCACTTTCTTCTTGAACAAAACTTGAGATCAATATGTGATTAACTAATATAATTTACAAAAAAGGTATTTAGAAAATTTTACAGTGTCAATGTTCAATAGATTAATCGATTCTAGAGTCCACGGACCGTGTATTCCAAAAACATTCTTGTTTTGTTTCATTATTTGGATTTTACATGCGATGCCTCATTTATCACGCATTAGCTTCTTCTAGTGTTCATATCCATTCAACTTTTAATTCTTTTTTTAGGGTAAATAACATTCCTTTTATGGTTTGCAAAACTAGCTACTTTTATCAGTAAATTATCCTCCAATAGTTTACTATTGTTTTCACATATTTTTTTTATGGTTTCAAAAACTATATATGATTCTTTTCAATTTTGAATTAAAGTGTTAAAATGATGGAATTTACCCTCTACAATGAAACTGTTAAAATATCAAGAATACCCAAATGTCAAAATAGATACTGTTTGTTAACTTTTTTTTTTTTTTTCGGAAACGTTAGAAGATTAGATACTGTTTGCTAACTATAATAGGTTTATATATAGATTTTAAAAATCAAAAGAGAACTATATGAAAAAGCACTAAATTATATATGGAGTTAACGTGTAATATATGCTATATTTGTGAATTTCGGCCACTTTAGTCATTATCGTATCTAAACGAGGGTAATTATGTATTTTAATTGCTTATGTTACAAAAGACAATTTCCATTGAGGAGGTTGTGTATAAATTTTGAGAATACAGGATGATTGTATGAAAAACTGCTAAATCATAGGAGGCTAAAGTGTAATTTACCCCATTGTTTATTTATTTTTTGTGAGCAACCAAGCTATCCATCTCAGAAAAGGCTACCCTTAGTTTATCCCGCATGTTCTGCATGTACCTACCTAATTAATCCTCTATTTTTTTTTAATTTTACTGTGCCATTTGATCCATAAAGGGATGACATGATTATGTAGCGGACTTAACTATCATGTACAAATAGCTTGAATCACTTCCATTCCTCAATTTTAACGAAGAATACATGAGATGAAAGACACTATCTATGGTAACCACGTTCTTCAATTGTGTTTCTTTTTCTCGACAAATTGCCATACTAATTAAGTTACCACTGGCTTCACTAGCGGATGGAGCTGACAAATATTCCAAACTACGCCGCCTGAAGCAAGTTTTGGGCTGCTAGCTAGCTAGTGTGTAACACAAATTTTCTACCTTTGCATTAGAGCAATGGCTGGAATTTGACAAGGCATCAACTTATTTCCTATAAATAGGAAAGGAAATAATTTTTCTAATATTTGTTCCTATGCACTTTACTGTAGACGTTAATTTTGTCAAGAATGCTCATTGTCTGAAGAAATGTCACGACAAAAGAGAAAAGGAGAAGAAAAAAAAAAAAAAGGGAAGAAAAGCATTTAACAGTTACAAAACACCCACTGTGTTGAAGCAGAAAGAATGTGGCTGAAATTTTTTGCTTTTTTTTTGGGTAACTATATATATGTGGCTGTAAATAGGCCAAGAGGGAGGGTGAGATATCTGGAAAAAGAAGAGCAAGGTCACAATGAGAGTGACCTTGATCACGCATCGTATATACCTCCAGTCAATGTGCAATGCATGCAGTCTAGCTTTTTTTTTTTTTTTTTTTTTGCTTTTGTTGGTTTATGGGTTCTCCAATTTTCATATAGTTTCAGAAGTATCTTTATCACTTTCTGTCATCAAGAAAGTTTTCCTTTACAATGATTCGGTTTTCCATATCCAGGACTTCGAGGAAAAGAAAACAAAGGTTGGAAATAAAAAACAATCCATTAATTTCCAGCCACATATTAAGTGAACAAAGGTAAGAAGCTGGAGGACTAGGTGTACATTTTCTATATTATGTGCTTGTACTTTGTTGGCCATGTTGTGTATGGACTATTCGTATTATTATACCTTGAAACGTTGAACCAACAAATCTATTTGTCCAGTGTCTCCAATGGACATGC